GGCCCCCCCCCCCCCCTCCTCGAAGTCCAACCAATTCAAAAAAGAATAATTTAGTAAGTTATTTTTTAATTGCAACCGGCTACAAGAACCTGATCCCCCAAAACTGAATGATTACTTGACTATTTAATTATACAACTACCTTTTGCTGTTGGTTTACAATAAATTCGTTACGTATATAATCTGAATTCTAAAATGCTCTATTCAGTACAAATGATACTAAACGTAAGATAATTAGCTATACCATAAAGTCAAAAGTAACATTTTGCATTGAAATTATATTCTTAAAAATTGTGGAACAAAATCCTGTAACACTGAATCGGTTCTGTTTCGATGTGAAGACTCCACAGCGACATCTTCGGACGATTAACACGATCGAACGTTCGGCACGCCTGTGTCGGTGTACTCCCGAAATGTTGCCAACACCTAAACCCAAAGCGACATTAGACAAAACTAAACTGCAACATACGGACCGCCACTGCAAAAACCTTCAACAAATGGTATCAAATGACTGGCGCGTCACGAATTTCACATTCCGTCGACCTTGGCTGGTTGATAAGCGAAAAGTAGGCCTGCTGGTGCGAACCAGGTGTGCGGCAGTATAACATTCCCAAACGATATTTGCCCTCCCCACAAAACTGAACAAGCTGAACAATTTACAATGAATTGCCAAATTTTAAAATAAGCATCTGCAGGAAATGCCAATTATAATAGGGCAGATACGGTTAATTTTTATACATGAAAATCAAAATGAGTGATGATCTGTAAACAATTACCAGCAAATAACTTATAAATTCACGACACAGTTTGATGCTTTTCGTAACAGCAAATTATTTGTAATAAAATCGGAACATTCAACATGACAAATACGAAGTTAACGACAAACAAGATCCCAGGTCACTTTAATTAAGTTCAAATTTTCAGCATGTAATTCTCCAAGGGACATTTTAATATTAACTTCCGATAATAGGAGAGGTGAGACGTGTGTAGAAATCTTCTGACCATACGCCAGACGGGAAGAAACTACAGGAGAGGCATTACGTATGCACGGGAAAACAAAATTAAAATGGGTCTTGCGGGAATAGCGGCTGAAGATGTGGGCTGGATTCATCTGGCTGTGGGCAGGGTCTAATGGCGGGCTCCTATGAACACCTGTTCCATAAGAGACGAATTTACGGACTAGCTATTCGACAAACGTGTTTTCGAAAATAACTATCCCATGTAGCTGTATAGTCCTCGGTCGTCCTAGAGGTTTCTTTGTCTCCCCCAGCCCCCAATTCAATCCACCACCAAACGATCGTATGTGAAAGGTACAATTTATTAACTCAGGACATTGTTCATGGAGGTTCACTACCGAGCTCACAACGACCCGCCACGTCCCTAACCTAAAAGATTCCAGTCCGCAACATTCTAACCTATTTCCTTAAGTTTATTAGAATACATCCATGTCTGGGTATTCTGAGTGGTCTCTTTCTTTGACGCTTTGCAAAGAAAAGTGTCATATTTCTCATCTCCCCCATGCGTACTAAATTTTCACTGATCATCCTAACAGTATTTGGTGAAAAGTACAAATTTGTGAATAAGAAAACGTACTTAGATTTCTCTGCATATTTCCAGACCACTTTCTTTCCTCGCGTTTAATAGAGTTACCATCTTTATTTTTCTTTACAAGAAGTTATATTTCCTACTAATAAATTACTATCAGCACAGACCAGAAGTTGATTTGTCCCAGTCAATTACGATTCCTATTTTTGCACCATCCTCGTGTACGGCCTACACTTGTTCTACGTTATTACGTACTCTTGTCTTATTATTCACAGTAGTTTGTATCACTTCTGCAGTGATGTCACTTCCTTCCAAGGCCAACTGCATTACCTACCATTCCGAATTATAACAGGACATTCATGCACTGATCCTGCCCGACCGGTAACCTTTCTTACGGAAAATTCATCCTATCCACATACACATGCCTTCTGTGTACTGCACAACTTTTTCGTGAGATTGTAGGTTCTGACGGCAGCGAGTATGAAGGGGGACGTCTTTTGGGATGTGGCGCCGTGTAATCTGGGCGCAGAAAGCACCTCTGAAACGTCGGTAAACTTCTACCAGTCAACACGGCGCAACATCTCAGAACACCGTAATCTTCGTACTTTAACAAAAGCTCACGTTGCATATAGTAATTTCACTAAAAGCTGTGAAACTAAACGCTTACCTTGCGTTTCACAAAGGCAGGCTACAATTTCTTATACAAACTGTATCTTCTTGTTAGACACATTGTCTTCCTGCACATGAACACTCATTCGTATTTTCAAACAACCGGATTGCCACACACCACCACTTTACATCACGTCGGCCTTGCGACGACTGACGCAAAAGAGAGTTGAACTTCGATTAATCGATACCTGGCATGAGACTATCGACAACATCGTCGACTTAATTTTCCACATGGCTGTTGATTTGGTTTTTCGGAGCAATACATAGATATCTATCAGATGTAAGTACAACTTCTTCTTGTCAGTTAAATGCATTACACGTGTAATTTGCACAAACAAGTCGATCATTTCTACATCATCCACGTTTATCTGTAATTTATACCAATTATTACATAATGTTCTTCCTTGTAAGAGCTCAGCATAATTATTTAACACGAACCACTCAAACAACGTAATTATTGAATACCAGTTTCTCTAAAAGTCGACATTTGTACATAATAACAATTCACATTAATAGAAAATAATTATTCATTAGGACTGGGATCGGGAATAGAGCTAGCTACATATCGTAGCTCAGCAGTGTGTGTGTGCCCGCCATCTATCAGCAGACGCGTGAACGAAATGCGTAAATGCTTCATCTTACTACTGGAATGCGCAGAGTTCTTGTATAATAATGACAGTCGCTCAGCTGGTGAAGATACTAGTCTTTTGTGCAAAAAATTGTAATTAGTCTGCCGAAGGAATGTGCGCCAAGGAAAATACTTTCAACAAACTGTTGTTCTTCTAAATTTTTGGGACTTCTCAATTTTGTTATTTGGAAGGCGTCGGTAGAAAGATACCGAAATATTTTTTCAAAATTCGACACAGTGATCTGGATTTTATTTTCAGCGCACACTGTACTATCCAAACGGAAATAGAAGCTAGAAAAATAAAAACCAATCTAAGCAATTTGGGAAACTGAAAGTTTGATATGCAGTTCCCCAGAATATTAATCAAACTTTACCTAAGAATTATGTGGTATTTAATATCGGCAGAAATGTAGACAAGTATTTCTGTGAATTCACTATTGACTAACGACGAATTTTCGTTTGCATATTTCGTCGTTATTCCAATGTAATATATTTTGTTTTAAATTATTGTTTATTGAACTATTTCTGCTTCTATTTCAATGTTACGTGTGAGGTAGATCGCTTAGAATCACTTGGTTCAGTTTACATTTATTTTGTGGAAGAACCCCGTTCTGCAATGTGCCTAACAGTTAAGGCTGACGATGTGTGGTGTTGAACAATGGGCCGACAACCTGGGGCCCGCCGGGCACAATATTTCTCGAAACTTTTGTATCAGATCCGTCACGATTTAGGAATTAGCCAAATTTAACAAAATAATTCGAAAATTATAGTCGTATTAATAACCCAAGTTTAATCAAATTAACAATGACTTGAAATCAAAACTGAAAGATACTAAACGTCTTTGCATTCAACTCAGTTGTATGGATAAATACAGCTATTATCCCTTTTTAAGAAAACAGCTGCTCATAATAAGTTGAAGAAGTACAGTTTCACTTATTAGCATTTCTCAGCGCTCAAAGCAGCTGCGGTGATGAAAATGTTTTCGACTACTGATATAAACAATGGTCATACACAAACAAAATTGTTTAAACAAAAACATATTGCACTCTAGAGGTCTAATTATCATACTGTAACAATTTCATCAACTGTAATTTCCAATAAGCACTATAGTAACATAATGCATACAGAAATGTGAATCATATAACCCATACCAATTATGAATTTAACGCGTTTTACAGATTTTTGTTGGGATGTCAGTCACGAAGGAAGCTAAGCTCATATTACGGAAGGATATTAAGAAGATAATCGCTCTGATTACGCCAGAACAGAAGAAGTATCAGTCCGATTTGGTTACTGAGCGGGTATCGGAACTGCAGCCTACTATACTTGGAAAGCACAGAGACTTTAGTTACAGTAAATCGTTACCATGGCTACAGACTCTTGTGTACTGTAGTTTGTACCTGGTGTAAACTGTTCCCTTAAACTGTGACTAGATGACACGACTTATATATCAATTCTTGAGTTGTCCAGAGCAGAAGTAGGCGGTTTCTTAACGAGATATCTCGTCCAAAGTACTGAAAGCGTTGTCTGATGAGATTATGCCACCTTCTGCTCGTTCAACTGGACCTGAGAGCAGTGAATTATTTTCATTACGATTCTCTGTTGTTTCAGTTCCTCGCAAGGCCTGAGTACCATAAAAGTCGAAGGATTTCTGTTTTTATCAGCATGGACGACGAGATTCAGACAGATAAAATTATACAAAACATTTTTCTGTCCGGAAAATCTTGCTTCATCCCAAGGTACGAACATGGCATTTGAGGGCATAACACGCCATGTCATTTGATGAACCACGTCAATCGCTATGTGCCTCGAAAATTCAGTTGTAAGATTCTGTTTAAAAAAAATTGTTCGAAATTCTTTCATTAGGATTTACTCAGTTCAGACCACTAGAAATCGCGAGATATATAAGCGAATGGGACAAACACGCTCTTTCACATGCCCCGACAGAAAAGATCCAGAGAAAACACACGCAAATTTAAGGATGGTCATGGTTTAGAGCAGCGTTTCTCAACCTATGGAAATGTTGGGTGGTACGCGAACTAAGTAAGAAAATAAAAAGATAATATTAACATAAATAAGTTTTCCTTAAACGCATTTGGTTAGTGGTACATTTAATGTGTTAAATTAGAATTAGTGGTACGCCAGCGAAAAGGGGTGAGAACCCCTGGTTTAGAGGCCTACTGCATTAGAAGCGAGCGCCTTATCCAAAGTGTGAACTTGTGTTCAGGTACGCAGATGACAGCCGTGCGATGGACATGGTGAGATTGAATTCCATTCAGGACCTGGATAGCTTGCCGACAACCAAGTGGAGCATCAGGCAACCAGCGGAGTCCGAAGAGAGAGAAAATGCTTTGGAAACAGGTTATATATAAGCGAATGTTCATGAAAAAAATTATAGATCGAATTTCCTTTCCCGAATATAACAATCAAGCAGAAACTTGTAAGCCGGGATTCCCGGTCATATGACGCCCGACGGTGTCAAAATGATTACGAAAGGAGTAAGAACGAGGTCACAGTAACATGAATCATTTGCCAGGGTGGATCATGTGACAGCAGTGAGGTGTCGGTTACAGTCTGAGCAATACACAAGGAAAGTAAGCTACGCAGAAAGTAGCTTATTTGTGAGATAGATGCAAACCACGTGTCTTCTTCTTCACCAATTCAAGGATTAGACTGATAACCTGTTCCGAAACCACATGTTACGACCTAATTAACTAGGACCTATTGTCTGGTTGCAGGGGGGTTGGATCTCATTCTGGTGCCAGGGCTCGCCTTCACAGTAGCAGGCCACAGGTTGGGACGGGGCAGGGGCTACTACGACACATTCCTCGCCAAATGTCGGACAACCCAGGGCTCTGCGCCCCTCACTGTGGGACTGGCCTTCAGCCAGCAGATGGTGGCTTCCGTCCCCACGGATGAGAACGACATCTGCTTGGATAAGGTGCTCCACGGCTGACGGGTTCCAGACGACGGCTGAATGACCATTCCGCTGTGTTCGTCGGTCTCGGTGCCACAGTGGAGCCACCAGAACAGTGAAACTGTTGACCCTAGAGTTTCAGCAAACCAAGTTCGACTCTTTCTACTCTGTTTAAGCGATCGGCGGTGATGGAACTGAGGAACGAGAAGGCACCGGCTGGGATTCGAACTGGGTGCAACGCAGTATAACAAGAAGGATTGCAAAGACAGGGCGGTAAATTGTGACTTGTTTTGTGGAAATAAATTTTGTTATAATTTACTTGTTTACAATTCTTTCACACATTCCAGTACATTAAATAAAACACTGCGAGTTGTGTTCTCCATTCACTCGTGCAACTTTCTCATTGTGAATGACTTCGTAACCACGCGCGCTGAGTGAAACAGCACATAGCAGCTAAACAAAAGTTGTTGAAATTATCAGGCTTGGGTAATGAATCGGCGACAAACACGTACACACAGAAATGCGGCTCAAAGTATAACTGTCATACCGCAAAGGGTCGTCGCTCACATCGAAAGTCTACTGACATATTCTTTGTTCATTCGTCATTGCCAAACCAAATTCCGTGGAAACTCAGGGTTCTCTCCACCTTCTAGTTTCAATATTAGCACCAGCACAGAAACGAATTTCGTTTTGAATCACAAATTCGAAATTTTAATCTATCCAGAAGTACACTCCTGAAGCAAAATAAAAATATGTTATTTGCACATGAATGATCGCACAATTGAGAGCTGTTCTGAACTGTCGATGCAGTACAGCCCGTGAATTATAAATTTAAAGTACGCTACGAGCTGGACGACTGGGGATCGATTCCCAGTCGAGGCACCGCTCTATCTTTTTGTCACCGCATTCAGCCTAGCTGTGGGGCGTGACGCTCCATCTAGTGCCGAAATTAAGAATGTGTTTTCACTTGCACGCCCCATGCGTCAAAAAATACGAACGACTCAAATGTTTCATGAAATATTAATTTCGAATGTTCTTTAAGATGGCTATTTTACGGGACAAAAACTACGATTATTTGTTGCTACTACTCAATGATGTATTTATTGGCTTCCCTACGAAGGCCGACGTGGTTTTAACAGTGTTCCCTGCAGCGAGAAGCACTCGTTGCTGTCTGCTTCCTGGACTGTGGAAAAAGAATCCTGAATGTACCGTCATGCAAAATTTGATGACTGGCCGATCAATTTCCCTCATTACAGTATTTGAGGCTATGGGTCTGAGAGTAGTCAGCTTCAAGACCCAGTGCGAACAGGAATTGTTATGTGCTGTTCCATTCTTGACAACTCACAATGCAGAATGAACTGTTTATAATAAATTAATAAATAATAACACCTTCCAGAAAAAGTTTGCCTTTGGGGTCGAGTTGCACGCACACTGTAACATTGGATGTACATTTTATTTATCTTAACAAAACCTTGTAGCTAGGATCGCTTTGTGTGTGACGCAATAATGAACAGCTCTGCAACTTGAAACGTGACGTCTGGCACGAAGTAACAATGCCGTCTACCTCTTGCCAAGTACTGGGCCACTCGAACTGCTCTGTTCGTTGTCGTGTGAAGCAAAATCCCCTGTTGCTTCACACTAGAAGGAGCTGCCACCAAGAACGCAGTTATTTCATGAATTAATTTTCTTTTATGACTCGTAAAATACTCAATGAGAGATTTACATAAATATCTGGTACATCGATAAATACTTACCTTTTCATAACTACATAAAACATTTTAAAATGTCAGCCACAACTCTCTACCGGCCAGAACACGGCGAAGTCAGTTTTCGGTACTTTACATCTGCAGCTACAGTTTCTGAGTATGTTCTGAGGCCGCAATTTTCTGCCTCAAGAAAGCGGCTTAGAGCCACGTGTTAATGACACAGAAACAGAAATCACGACACCAACCTCGCCTTGTACTCCTCACGCCTGCCTAAATCAGTCCTGCGACCTACAGCTTCTTGCTGTCCGTCGTCTTTCTTACTTCCTCGGGCGAAACCTGATTACACTGCAAATACCGGACAATAACATTCAACTAAAGAGAACTGGGGAAAGTATTTCTATTTCCCATGTAAAATGACGAAACTGCTAAAAGTGCCGTGTACCGGTAGCGTAGTTCACATCAGATGGGGCCGAACACCCTCTTGCCCCGGGTAAGTAGCATACTGACCACCATGACAGACATGAGGAAGAACACGAGACCGAGGAGTGACGTCACCACCCGGCACCAGCAGCGCCTCCGCTTGGCCGCCTTTATCCTCACCATCAGCTGCTCGGCGCGATGCATGTCCAGCGTGAAGTCGAGCCTCCCGGGGGACGGCTGCACAAACAAACAAATCATGTACTGACCCCGACATGCTAATGCATTGCGTAACGCGCAACAGATATGCCGGCCAGAGACATCTGCCCACAAGTGTCGAAACATTCACTTTCTACAGCTGTATAATAAGATGATATTTTTAACCCGTTGACAGTGTGGAATCTAGTCAGGTTCGCGACTGTCCTACTGAAGACTGACAGAGATGCGTCTCCGAAGCATAAGCCTTAGATAAACAGGATGTAAGGGTGTAAAAATGACTTTTAATTTTAAAACCTTGCATACCGTGTAATGTATTATAATATAAAACATGCATACAAACAAAACTGTTTACACTATGAAAGACACTAATGCCAAATGCGTCTCGACCTCGAGAGGTCATCATCAGTGGCAAAAAACAAGTTAATTCATACAATATAAAACAAAAGATTATGGTTTTTAACAGAGCATAAAAGGTATGTACTTTAGAAACCATATTTAAGTAACACCTCACTGGATGTTGGTTGCACAGGAGCTGGTGTATTACATTGGACACTTAGCTATTAGTCCACTGGTCTGATGGCCTTTGTTGGTCTGCAACGAGCCGTGGTTGCGTCGTCTGTGCCTGAGAACTTCCACAAAGCGTGGGCTCACCGTAGACCAACAACTGCCTTCAGACCAGTGACTAATAGCTACGTGCCCAATACAATACACCAGCTCCTGTGCAACCAACATCCAGTGAGGTGTTACTAAATATGGTTTTGTAAAGAACTTACCTCTGTACTCTGTTAAAAACCACAATCTTTTGTTTTGTATTATATGAATTAACTTGTTTTTTTGCCACTGATGAAGACCTCTTGAGGTCGAAACGCGTTTGACATTAGTGTCTTTCATGGTGTAAACAGTTTTGTTTGTATGCATATTTTATATCACTTTTAATAGGTCCAGAATTGGGTCCAAAGTGATAATTAATCTTCTGGTTCTATAAAAGCAGGGACTAAATTGGCCAGCTGAGAAACTACAGACTTACAAGAAAGGTTCTGCTCCATGATAGGGTAGTTTTAAAATTGTATTTGAACGAAAATTAATACAAAAATAAGGTTAATAGGAACAATGGGGGCGGGGGCGGGCAAAGGCAAAGAAACCCTTCGTGCAGCTCAAGAATTAGTTTCAAAGTTGTCACAAGGCACCAAAAATTCAATGTCTCTCGAAACATGATGTTACCATAACTGTGCATCGCACTAAAACGGGTTGTTACTTTACATTTCACGCCTTCAGTTATACGGCTTTCATGTTAATCACGCAACTGCTCCTACGCATGATATCAGCGTCAGATAAAGCAATCTGCAGGAAAGGACGCAAAGAAGATCCATCACTCGATGGCTCCAGTGATAGATCTGACACAGTTGTTTAACAGAGTGTGGTGGAGTGTTACAATTGCGTAACGACACTGCATTGCCGTCAGACTATCAATTTCTTAACGTCAGTACAGCGCAGTTTTCTGCCGGAGGACAGCGAGCTTGCTGTCCGACAGCAGCGATTGGACCAGAGGCACTTGGCCGAAGACTGTCCTCACGTTCTGTTCTACTGAGACGGCAAACCCAATAAGACAGTGGTGTGATTGACTGTCGGCTGAGCGTCCGGAGTAAGATCTTTCTCCATGTCCTGCCTGGCAAGCCGGCCACGCTACGAGCTGGACGACTGGGGATCGATTCCCAGTCGAGGCACCGCTCTATCTTTTTGTCACCGCATTCAGCCTAGCTGTGGGGCGTGACGCTCCATCTAGTGCCGAAATTAAGAATGTGTTTTCACTTGCACGCCCCATGCGTCAAAAAATACGAACGACTCAAATGTTTCATGAAATATTAATTTCGAATGTTCTTTAAGATGGCTATTTTACGGGACAAAAACTACGATTATTTGTTGCTACTACTCAATGATGTATTTATTGGCTTCCCTACGAAGGCCGACGTGGTTTTAACAGTGTTCCCTGCAGCGAGAAGCACTCGTTGCTGTCTGCTTCCTGGACTGTGGAAAAAGAATCCTGAATGTACCGTCATGCAAAATTTGATGACTGGCCGATCAATTTCCCTCATTACAGTATTTGAGGCTATGGGTCTGAGAGTAGTCAGCTTCAAGACCCAGTGCGAACAGGAATTGTTATGTGCTGTTCCATTCTTGACAACTCACAATGCAGAATGAACTGTTTATAATAAATTAATAAATAATAACACCTTCCAGAAAAAGTTTGCCTTTGGGGTCGAGTTGCACGCACACTGTAACATTGGATGTACATTTTATTTATCTTAACAAAACCTTGTAGCTAGGATCGCTTTGTGTGTGACGCAATAATGAACAGCTCTGCAACTTGAAACGTGACGTCTGGCACGAAGTAACAATGCCGTCTACCTCTTGCCAAGTACTGGGCCACTCGAACTGCTCTGTTCGTTGTCGTGTGAAGCAAAATCCCCTGTTGCTTCACACTAGAAGGAGCTGCCACCAAGAACGCAGTTATTTCATGAATTAATTTTCTTTTATGACTCGTAAAATACTCAATGAGAGATTTACATAAATATCTGGTACATCGATAAATACTTACCTTTTCATAACTACATAAAACATTTTAAAATGTCAGCCACAACTCTCTACCGGCCAGAACACGGCGAAGTCAGTTTTCGGTACTTTACATCTGCAGCTACAGTTTCTGAGTATGTTCTGAGGCCGCAATTTTCTGCCTCAAGAAAGCGGCTTAGAGCCACGTGTTAATGACACAGAAACAGAAATCACGACACCAACCTCGCCTTGTACTCCTCACGCCTGCCTAAATCAGTCCTGCGACCTACAGCTTCTTGCTGTCCGTCGTCTTTCTTACTTCCTCGGGCGAAACCTGATTACACTGCAAATACCGGACAATAACATTCAACTAAAGAGAACTGGGGAAAGTATTTCTATTTCCCATGTAAAATGACGAAACTGCTAAAAGTGCCGTGTACCGGTAGCGTAGTTCACATCAGATGGGGCCGAACACCCTCTTGCCCCGGGTAAGTAGCATACTGACCACCATGACAGACATGAGGAAGAACACGAGACCGAGGAGTGACGTCACCACCCGGCACCAGCAGCGCCTCCGCTTGGCCGCCTTTATCCTCACCATCAGCTGCTCGGCGCGATGCATGTCCAGCGTGAAGTCGAGCCTCCCGGGGGACGGCTGCACAAACAAACAAATCATGTACTGACCCCGACATGCTAATGCATTGCGTAACGCGCAACAGATATGCCGGCCAGAGACATCTGCCCACAAGTGTCGAAACATTCACTTTCTACAGCTGTATAATAAGATGATATTTTTAACCCGTTGACAGTGTGGAATCTAGTCAGGTTCGCGACTGTCCTACTGAAGACTGACAGAGATGCGTCTCCGAAGCATAAGCCTTAGATAAACAGGATGTAAGGGTGTAAAAATGACTTTTAATTTTAAAACCTTGCATACCGTGTAATGTATTATAATATAAAACATGCATACAAACAAAACTGTTTACACTATGAAAGACACTAATGCCAAATGCGTCTCGACCTCGAGAGGTCATCATCAGTGGCAAAAAACAAGTTAATTCATACAATATAAAACAAAAGATTATGGTTTTTAACAGAGCATAAAAGGTATGTACTTTAGAAACCATATTTAAGTAACACCTCACTGGATGTTGGTTGCACAGGAGCTGGTGTATTACATTGGACACTTAGCTATTAGTCCACTGGTCTGATGGCCTTTGTTGGTCTGCAACGAGCCGTGGTTGCGTCGTCTGTGCCTGAGAACTTCCACAAAGCGTGGGCTCACCGTAGACCAACAACTGCCTTCAGACCAGTGACTAATAGCTACGTGCCCAATACAATACACCAGCTCCTGTGCAACCAACATCCAGTGAGGTGTTACTAAATATGGTTTTGTAAAGAACTTACCTCTGTACTCTGTTAAAAACCACAATCTTTTGTTTTGTATTATATGAATTAACTTGTTTTTTTGCCACTGATGAAGACCTCTTGAGGTCGAAACGCGTTTGACATTAGTGTCTTTCATGGTGTAAACAGTTTTGTTTGTATGCATATTTTATATCACTTTTAATAGGTCCAGAATTGGGTCCAAAGTGATAATTAATCTTCTGGTTCTATAAAAGCAGGGACTAAATTGGCCAGCTGAGAAACTACAGACTTACAAGAAAGGTTCTGCTCCATGATAGGGTAGTTTTAAAATTGTATTTGAACGAAAATTAATACAAAAATAAGGTTAATAGGAACAATGGGGGCGGGGGCGGGCAAAGGCAAAGAAACCCTTCGTGCAGCTCAAGAATTAGTTTCAAAGTTGTCACAAGGCACCAAAAATTCAATGTCTCTCGAAACATGATGTTACCATAACTGTGCATCGCACTAAAACGGGTTGTTACTTTACATTTCACGCCTTCAGTTATACGGCTTTCATGTTAATCACGCAACTGCTCCTACGCATGATATCAGCGTCAGATAAAGCAATCTGCAGGAAAGGACGCAAAGAAGATCCATCACTCGATGGCTCCAGTGATAGATCTGACACAGTTGTTTAACAGAGTGTGGTGGAGTGTTACAATTGCGTAACGACACTGCATTGCCGTCAGACTATCAATTTCTTAACGTCAGTACAGCGCAGTTTTCTGCCGGAGGACAGCGAGCTTGCTGTCCGACAGCAGCGATTGGACCAGAGGCACTTGGCCGAAGACTGTCCTCACGTTCTGTTCTACTGAGACGGCAAACCCAATAAGACAGTGGTGTGATTGACTGTCGGCTGAGCGTCCGGAGTAAGATCTTTCTCCATGTCCTGCCTGGCAAGCCGGCCAGTCAGCGACGTCTAATCACTGGTAAAAGCCGCCAAATTTAGTGGTCGTGGGTTCAAACGTCTCTCGAGTTCGCGAGGCTCAATTTAGGAATTATTCGGCCTGTAAGATAATATAATTGACAACCGTAAAGATGTGGACGAGGTATGGGTGCAACGGAAGACTGTTTTGACACTGCTTGGTGATGACACTGGATTTTCGAGTTTCCGGGCGACAGGGGCGAGTTTTTTCATTCTTACGTAACACACACACACATAGGGTGGAGAGAGAGAGAGAGAAGTGAAAGCACAAAACAGTATCTTGTGGTGCAGTATGAGGGAAAGTCATAAAGAACCGGGCCTGTCCCCGCCGGCCACGTCCACAAGAAACAAGTGACCCACTTGCGGCCCTCCTGCGGGCTGCACCCTGTCTCCCTCTTCCTTTTCAGGCGTTCTTTGCAAAATGCGAGCAGAAATTAACGCATGCAGGACTAAGCATGTCTATTTGTCCACATTTTTAAAATCGGGAACTGCCGGACGGATTTTGATTAATTTTGGTATCTTAATTCCATTGAATACTACCCCAACCTCGTACTTTTTAATTTTTTTACAATCGGTAATACCAAATGACAGACACGGACTTGTGAGGTGGGAGCGACACTAGCGCCATTTAACATAACGTCCTGAAAAGATATGTAATATACAAAAACATCCAACATTTATTCAGCTAATGTTTTTGTAGAATGTAAAAAAGAAAAAGCGGTGACTACACAGAATGTACACTTAGCTTTCAGACTGGTGCCAGCAACTGGCGAACAGCGTGAAGTTTTGTACACAGCCGGACCACACACATAGACACATGTTCTGTATTAAATATTGTTGCAACGCGAGATAGAACGGATCTCTGACACTTTGTCCGCCGCTCTTAAGAATAAAATGAGCGAACGCTAAAACTACTGCTCTATTAAAGACGTAAATGCTCCTACACACTTCACTGGCAGCAGAAACAAACACTAATAATTATCAATAAATTATTTAAACTTTCAAACAATTTAAACTTGGCCGAGATTCGGCCATATGACTGGGTCGGAGCTTTGGTAAGTTACGGAAGCCCGGGAGGTCAGAAGATTTAGACGTTCCCACAAACTGCACATGGACTCTCCCGACCAAAGGTACGTTCTTCCGCTTAAGTCGTCGCTAAGCTTAATAGCTTAGCTAAGGAGGGCAAGTAAGTCAGTAAATGAAGACTGAAAGTTTGAATGATACTGAAGAATGCGTGGAGCGGATCACACGTGAACACGGGTTCCATTAAAACAGGTACATTCGTGACTAGTAGTGTGACTGCCACCTTTTACTCAGTGGAGCTACCAGTGTTCTAAGAAAGTGAATTATAAATGTTAACGCATTTGCCTTGCGACGGCAGAAAGCACCTTTGCCCTTCTGACACAACTTTATTTGCGTAGTTCAACCTATCATAAGCTGAAGGACGTTATAGGTCGTGTAGAAACGCACTTCTCTGGATATGCTTGCTTAATGAAATGAAATCTCTCTCATCACTTTTACAAAACGTCGCCCTGATTATTTGTGTCTTTTTTCAACAACGGAAACAAACGACGTCACTAGTTTTTGTCTAAAAAGATACGCACATTAAAGCTTTAAGGGGAAGTCGCCATTTTCACGTTTAGCAAGAAGCTCTAAAACATCATGAGAAGTCATTTTTCCTCTAAATGCTAAACAGAGATTAACCAACTGGAACTGAAAACACAAATACAAGCTACTTGAAGCTACAAACATGGCCTCCAAATTTCGCTTCATTTTTCTAATGAATACCATACACTATATGATTTATCTACGTACACTTCATTCGTTATTCGTTCAATAACGGTGCGTGCAAGATAATGGACCCTTTCTTCTTCCGCGTTGGTCTTCGCTTGTTCAGTAAATATTCTTCCTCAACTTCTTTGTCGTGGGCAGTATAAAGGAGCCTAATTACACTTCCTGCATAATGGAATTAGCATATGGACAATAACAAACGGTTCACAGACTTCATGTTACAACATCGTCTGTTTAAACTTTACGATGCCAATCGTTGTTAAACTTATAAATTTTACTGTTGAAAAGCTTTTTTTGTTAACACTACAGACTCTGCCTTCAGACAAGCAGGGTCAGCGCTTCTAAGCAAGACATGCTCTAACGTGGAAATGGTTAAGATTCGCGAAGCGTAGCAAAATGCGAGATCCAAAATTCAATAGTCTGCAGTCTGTGAGCAGAACATTTTGCGTTAACAGTACCAAGGAGACGTAAAAACCAATAAGTTCTATGATTCTTTTCGACGATACTTCTTACGATCGGATAAAACATGACAGTCATCTTTCATTTTAGAATCTTGTATCTTATGAAAAATAAGACATTAAAGTGTATGAGATAGTGAGTCTAACACGAAGAATAATAATTGACAGAGAAAGTATAAAGAACAATGGAGCAGTGCGATATTTTTTAACAAAGTATCTACACGGTGAGAGATCAGCTTGTGCACTTGTGTCGGAACCTAAATGTACACACTCATGTTTATTTTGTATATCTCATATCGTGCTACATACACCGCCCATCTCATATTTATTTATTAGATTATCTCATTAATACCTGTTCTCCATAATCCCGTCTCTTCAGCACTCTGTCGAATACAATTTCTTCCGTTAGGATAAGAGACCACGTGCCGTACGCATACAAACCAACGGGTAAAATGAAAGTTAAAAGCGACAAGATACTTCTGTAAACAGTTTACTTCGCGTGCGTGTACGGTCGCCATGGTAACGGACACACAAAAGAAGAGACACGCTGCATTTGAGTGTGTCGAAACGCGACGTCTCGAGCCGGAAGCTTCACTGTGTGTGACAGAGAAAGCCGCAAGGTACTGGACCGGAAGCGATTCCGCGACCATTTAACCAAAACGCAGTAATGAGATTCTGAGGTCTGCTCAGAGGTTGCTGCACACAGCAACGGAATACACACAAAGCAATTTGCATTCAGAAGAAAGCACGCCGGCATTTCATGGATGGTGGTATTTTGGTTTGTGACGCCGTGTAATCTTGTAGGTGGTTACCATCGTCTTCAGGGTAGAACACGGAGGTGATTAGTTACTCCGAAACGTCGATAACCATATACAACACCACACGGAGTCAACGCACACGGGATCATTATCCCAAATTACGTCATCCGATTCAATCCTTAGGCTGACCCCAACAAAAATTACAATTAATACTTTAGTGACCCATTTCTATGCATATTTTTGACTAAACCTCAATCTTTCACATCGATACCTTGTGTGTAAGTTTTACAGACGTTTACATTTGTAATCGTACCGCCTACCTCTGATGCGTGTCGGCTCGTTGACTCTTGTCTCTTTCCTTAAGATCTCATGGATTTGGCCTGTTCCCATTAACAATTAATTCATAAACCATGAATGTTTTAGATATTGGCCCTATCCAGTCACATTCTAATGCCAACAGACAGGACACTGTTAGTGCTTGTAATGGAGTGTTCCGTTACGCATCTTTCAGAATACACGGAGCCCAAAATGTTTCAAGAAGACAGTTACACAGCTGATCAATGTCCACCACCGTACAACAAGAGCCAGTTCAGAACACTATCTTTAGCCAGTCCTATCATTAGAAAGATCCATCTTAAAATATTATCCGCTTTCCAAGCGGTTTCGTCATGAAAATTATCTGTGAATTACTTTTCTCCTGCATTGTAGCTGCGTTACCTGTATAAATCGCCAATTTTGTCGTCATGACTGTCACTCATTTCATGTTCCCGCGCTCTTTGTTTCCAAACCCTGGCGATTTATTTCCTATCTTCCGAATAAGAGACGAGATTCGGACGGTGACAAATCAAAACAACTGTTTCATGTAGTCTACCTCCATTTTTACCGTTTCGGGAAGCGACAGGAGTTCGGCATTTTTAATCTACGAAACTCATCCAACGGATTTTGACGAAGTTTCCTATTGGCGCTATCAAATTTATCGAAAAAATTTAACTGTTATTTTCGCATATTGCACCAAATGCGAAAAGAATTATTTCAGAAATTTTATCTAATACTTTGTTACTTTCTTAATGCTGTTTGATGTGTGGCCTGCAAGCAGATATTTCCACATTTAATTAACAAAACAGCCTTGAAGTGCAAACCATAAAATTAGCCTACAAATTGTCTTGTTCATAAAAATTTTCTTTGGTAAACATGTTAAGATATTCTGTAGCGAATATTTAATGAAATGCCAGGAAAAATAAATTCTGAGGTACAGCCTGTTTGTATTGCAACTGCAAGATACAGGCGAATAAGTATGCAAAACTGCAAAGAACGCATTTGGAAAATAAGCATGAATTGCGCTGCAGGCAGCGGGTCCACAACTTTCCACTTTCGTCGTGACAATGATCTTTCTCCAGTAGGCAGAAGGACACTTGACACGTTCGTGGTCGAAAGCTGAAGACAATGCCACTAACTAAGTTCAGTTTGTTTCCTTCTGAAACCACCGATGGCTTCTGCTACTTTTCTTGCAACTTCTTACTCAACAGAAAGAAAGTGGCTCTGGCTCATTTTAGGGCCAAACCACTATCTTGGTCAGACCGGATAAAAAGACGAAACGGTTCACGTAATTTAGGAGCCCTCACTGGAAATGCGCAACAAAATTAACCAGAACATCGCGATGCGAGAAGTCACATTAAAACCACCGAAAGGGGAAGTAATTGGTTGTATCACACGAACACAACTGAACTTTTACTTCGAAATAAAAACGGTTTCTCGGTCGAGGAGTTATTCGGAAGGAGCGCGTCTGCCGATTTAAGTGGCAAGTTTCACGAGATGTCAGGAAGCACAGACCTAGGATATACTGAACTGATGTCGCGATACAAGAGTCCCAAATGCGATCCTTGCAAGTTGGCATCCGCCATTACCACTACTCACGCAGTATGAGGACTTGAGGCGCACGTCTCCGGACCCCCATGTCCCGCACAACATCGCATTCCTAACGCAGTTCGGCACACTGGACAAGTGTTCGTGCAGAAATACGGGCGGCTGGCTGGAACACAAACTGGGCGTTGTGTGGGTCAGGTCCGAGAACCCGCTGCTACTCGTCGAGGAAGACGACGACACTCTTCCTTTCCGGGTGGTCCCCCTCTTATCCAAAGGCCGGACCCTCAGAGACCCACCGTTGCTACTGCTGCTGTTACTAAGAGCTCGAGACATTTTCGTCAGTGGCTCCCTGTTACTCATAGTCACCGACAACTTCCTGAGAACTTCCTCGCAAGAAGAATTCCTCTGTAGCGATTCAAGTTTAAGATTATCTTCCGGCATTGCATTTTGTTTGGTCGTGTTTGGGAACTCCCTGAGCATTTCTTGTGACGATTTGTGTGAGCCTTCCGTCGCCTTTCCAGTATTCCGGTCGCAGGTCGTGGCGCTTTGCGGCCACACAGGACGCGGGACGCAGTGGTCAACTTTGCCCTCCGGAATTGGACTCAGCGTGACTGCGCTGGTGCGACGCGTGTAGCCATCGCGCAGGGTCGCGGTCTCCGTCGGTTCCTCCGCCCCGCTCTCTGAGGACGAGTTGTACCTGTGGCTACCATAGCCGGAACTCGCGGATTTGTCAGGGAACTCCGGAGAACCGTGCTGCTGCTGGGTCTTCGGGTCTTCCTCGTCGAAGAGAGGATTCACTCTGTCAACAACAAAGTATGTAATTTAAAAGTACTGACATGGTTCTGTCGTCGGGTACAATGCGGCCACAGACTGAACCTGGTCACTCAACTGAAATGTTAACAAGGCGTGGATTTTTACCTCCAAGCTCCCTATATGCAACCAGGCATCCACGACACACATCAGGAAAGATGCAGAACTAAACAACCCTAGTACTACCCCAGCATTAATTTAAACAATAAAATGCCTCGACTCGAACGCGGGACTTCACTATCACGGAACACGCAGCGAGGACTGTAATCTAGGAGCGTGTGAGCACCGAGACATTAAGGCGGAAAGAGGCGTGGAGGTATAACTCAAAGCATTACAGACCCAGGCATTTTCTTAAATAACCCGATAACGATCGTTCTGAAGAGAAGGGTGCGAGATTTCAAACCCGCGGACAATTAAAAGGTATCCTTGTGCTGCTAAGCTTTTCCCTGTGCTCCTTATACAAAATGCACGGAATCAAGGCATATGGGGAGGTCGTGGCTGTTTGTCCGTCCACAGCTTTTATCTTCGAAACTACCCGACGGATTTCGATTAAATTTTATATTGTGGGTCTACACGAAACGTTGTTAGCCGAATTTAAATTCAGCCCATTAGCCCATTTAAAGCATATCGACAAAATAAGAGACTTTTCCCCGCGTGGTTAATGTTTTAATAGATAAATGCAAGGGAATGTAATTTCTGGCTCTCGTCTGTGTGATTATGTTTACAGCAGATTTATTATAGCTGCAATATAAATACGTAAAGTAGGCCTATTGCAGGCTGCATTTTGTGGGAGGCCCACACCTCGAAGAAACATTTGAATTACACAACGCTCAATGCGAAACGATCAACAGCTGGAGTTGCCCAAGGCAACGAGAACCGAATGGCACCGCCTGGTCAGAATGCTATTCCTCTCTCATTATATAAGCGAAATCGTGTAACTGTCTCTAGCCTTCAAAGCAAATTGCAGGCTGAGAGGCGCGCGCCACAGAGACCCTGCAGTTCGAATTGCGCGTAAATAATCCCAATATAACCCAAGTTAAATTCGAAGTCCCCACAACATTTCGGTCTCCTCCACGTGTTCCTTTCCTTGTCCACTAACAAAATATTCGTGAGAGTCATTATATATTTTCTCAAAATAATGATAAGCTGGATGTTAAAAATACAGCTCGATTACTCAGGTTACGTAACGACGTTGTATCAACTGACCTGCTGACTGCGTAGATCTCCAGTGGCCGGTCCACCTTGTGCGCGCAGATCGTGGCCAGGGGGTCGTCAGTTACAATCTCGGTGGGGGCAGCACAAGCGGTCTGACGTGAAGAGGCTCCTGCCAGCAGCCACTTGAGCATCCTTCCCCCGCTCAGTCCAGCTTCACCTCATCCTGCCCGGCTCCTGCAACAAACTGCTAACTGGAATAGAACTCGGTGCAGATGAGATGGGGTCCGCAGTGGCCGCGCGGTCTGAGGCGTGGGCCTTGTGCCGCTTGGTCGCTGGGACCGTGGGTTCGAATCCCACTCAAGCCATGGATGTTTGTCCGCGTTCTTCTGTGTTGTGTACAGGTAGAGGCCTTGCGACGGGCCGATCCTTCGTCCAAGGAGTCCTACCGAATGTCTATAGATCAAGCCAAAGAAAATTTGGGACCCGCAATGCTCAGGCACTTGAAGAACGGGTCGTTCCCAGTATCCAGCAGATCAGATATAAAAAAGAGGATCCTCAGCTGACTGGCTGTAGACGATCAGACAGAACAAGGCACTTGGAGACGCTGAAACTTTACTGAGCATAGACAGGTGACCTAATGACGTGAATTATATGGTACATCCACAAAACGAAGAGCAGGTAGCCTACCTAAATCATTTGGGACCAGGACGTCAATGATCTCGTCATGTCGTCGTGACTCGTCATGGGTCCAAGACACGGTGGCGAAAAGCTGTTGTTTGAAAATTTTCCGATGTAAGACTTCGGTGGGAGGAGGGAAAGTTTCATAATAGACGAACCAGCTGCAGTCAGTACAGAGCGTTCTGTCGCAACTCAACGACTTGCTTCGAGATTTTTCCTAATGCTCGGTGACACCCAAAATCACTTCACGATACCTGATTTATAACGGGAGACTGATTGTTTGGAAACTGAAGGCTTCTGTTCTGAGTTTGAATTAAATAATTTTTCATTCCATCAGTGTCCGCCCCGGCACAATACAAAGTTAAGTCTCCTAGCTACAGGACTGCGCTTTAATGTACGGAACCACGAGTTGGTTTGTCACATTCACGGCAGTAAGAAGAAAATGCGACCCTCCGGACAAATAAACGGGGTCGTTGGGAAAATTAAGTTGAGTTGTATGTTTCTACTGGACACCAGATATTGTTAGGTTCGCTGAACATACGTGGATGGGATGCGTTGAGCATGGAAATGCATACGAAATGTTAGCCGAAAACCTCCATAGGAAGAGGTCACGTGGGCGTATATGTGAGGATAATATTAAGCCGGATCTTACGTTACCGAAATTGAGTGTGCATGTTTAGACTGGATTCATCTCGTTCAGGACAGCATCCACTGGCGGAGTGTCGTGAACATTGTAATGAACCTTCGAGTTCCATAAAAGGCGGGGGTATTTCATGATATGTTATAAAGACGTCTGTATATGTCTTAATTTTATCAAATAAAAGAATACTCAAACATTAGCACTGGAAGTCAAAGCACTGGTTTCTTTGAGATTGACAATTTTTTATCTGAAACTTTTTTCCCGATAAGACAGAGATTTATCGAAATACCAATAAGATAACATCTGATACTGCGCAGTATAACAAACCGTAGTCCGCTGGTTGTGCGGGATTCACTTTCACCGTGCGCCACATGTCAAGGCCGGCCAATGGCCACCCGAGTGCTCCCTCCGTGTACTTCATGGCTAAGCGTAATTAATGATTTCTCGTACTGACATTTATCTGAAACATTCTCCTGTGTAGTTTCTAGCCTACTTTACAAAACAACAATAAACAGGTCTAGATGAAATCCAAAGAACACATTTGTAAAACACTCCTACTTATAAGACATTGTGGCATTATGAAGCTGTGTTGAGGCAGGCAGTTCTGTGGCGACTCGGATTTCATGCTGTGAGTTGCGGTTGGGTCGCGGATGACAAAAGACAACTGCAAAGGAGTGATGGTGCTGCGGGCCACAGAAGGGTTGTTAATAGATTGCTGAAGACAACCGATAATTCTGCTTCATTGAATAACTGTTTTATGCACTACTAATGTTCCTCTAATGTTACAGACCTACTGAAAGAACCAAAGCCATTAATTACGTCATATGTAGCTAAGTGAACAACTGACATTTTTAAGCACTTTGTTCAGAGACTGGAGGTAGTCCCACACATATGAAGTTGGTTGATTGCCACGTCACTTTGTTCAGAGACTGGAGGTAGTCCGACACATATGAAGTTGGTTGTTTGCCACGAGACACAAAGTATTTAAAAGAAATATGCGAACTCACAAATGAGATCGACACATTCTGGTCGAGAAAGTCTGATCTGCACTGACAGGTGCTCAATAAAAGTTGGAACGTAACTAACAATTTCTCGGCCCTAAATGAACTTGATATGAAACTGAGGCAGAATCATTAATATATTTCACCGCACGGAACAAGTCCAAGGATTCCAAAACGCGTTACGTTCTAGAAAGCAAGACTTAAAAGTAATAGGTCAAGCTTCTGTATTTTCCAAATAGTATCGCAACATTTTGAGAGAAATGAAGACGAGTTGCTTGAAATAAAATCTTGCTTTTTCTGAAAGTTTCATTCATTACTTTCCAGAAGATCTCCCTCGGTGGACTATGGTTAGCGTGCTCGCCACTGGACCCAAGGTTCGCGGGTTCAATCCCGGCCGAGGTCGATGGATTTTAAGGGTAATAAAAATCCGTAGCACAGCTTCTTTCGTCGATTCACGGCATGTAAAAGAGCATGAATGAGATGTTTCGTAAGCAAAATTCAGCTGCCATTTCTCACCCAAGTCTACTGATTAACTTCTAGCTGGCTCTGGCAGTCAAATCGGAATTGAGTAGAAATTGTGCAGAGTCAGTAGGCTGGTCACTCACTACTCATAAATGCACACTTCAAAGACCAAGAAACCTCCGAAAAGGAGGTGACCAAAACCCACAACCGGGTTGTAGAGCCAAGATACAACAACAACTTTCCAGAAGAGACACTGTAAAATTTGGAAGGTTAACGGTTGAATTTAAGGCCCTCTGCTTTATGAAAATTCGGAATTAATTACTTAATAGCTCCTGAATTCTAGTGACTCCGTTCACTTCGGCGTTTTTTTTTTTTGTGTGTGACAACGAATACCGAATGACGTAACACGTAGCCGTAGTGCGCGGTCCGAAAGTGGCTCAGACGCGTTGTTATGTAAGAAGACTCAGCTGGAATGTTAGATAATGCGCGGTTAAACCAGTGATTTGCGTTTATTAGAAGCGCTTATAATTGATCGCCACTCGACTACTGTCACCTGCCGGCAGCATTCCAGAGCTGATTTGGTCTGCATCAATCACATGGGGGCGGCGACCAAGTGTGTTGCACAACTTGTCCAGCGACTTAAATACTAGTTCCTAGTCTATCGGTACGCAGGTATTTTAAATGTGGCTCAAAACAAAAGCAAAGGAAAACAGGGCTCAGCGTATGCGAGGCACTTCGCACTGAAATTTACAGATCTGTAAACACTACAAGGAAGAAACCGGTCAAACCTCCGCGCTTTATACCACTTTCTGTTGTATTTGTAAAAATTAACACAAAGTCCGACGACGGACGCAAAAAACGCCCATTTCGAAAAGTTGAGTCCCGCCGTTTGCTAGAACTGACAGGTACGTCGTGCGTGGTTGTGTATTTAACGACGCTGCCAAAAGCCCAGACTATATATACCGTCCAATAACGATCAATAATATGAATCGAGAAGGGTATGGAAGGGAGCGGACGTGTTCTTATTCAAGGTGCTATGCTGGTACTGAGGAAAATCATGAAAACACTTTCATGACAGCCTGTCTGCGGGTACAGACACGAACGCGGGACCTTCGAAATATGCTTCTCTGTTTGCGTAATCTGTCATCCAATCGATTCATCTCGATGACTACTGAAGGAGCACGACATGTTTGGTGGGTTCCTGTCACAACGGCATGGCGCGTCCTCAGGTTGCGGATGGAGTAACAGCCTCCTGTTATGGAGGTTAGCTACGAATATATCGAATAAGCAGTCGTCGACAGCTGATAAGGGGTGGTCCTCCAGCTTGGGGGTTGGGCGTGAGGCTAACAACCTTTTATCATAAAACATGTATTGTTACGAAAAAGTTAACAAAACCTCGGACCAGGAAGGACTCTTTGGCACTATCATTCCAATAGAAAATATGAGATTTGTAACGTGGAATGTTAGGAGTCTCTACAGGGCAGAGGCACTGAAATCAGAAAGTAGGTGATTACAGAATTATAAGTTAGACTTAGTGGCAGTACAGGAGGTGTGATGGGAGGGGGGGGGGACCCGATCCAAATGGAAAATTTCACTTTTTTCTATGGAAAGGGAATGATAATCATCAGTTAGGGACAGGTTTCTTTGTCCGTAGCAGAATTAGGGTAGCAGTTAAGAGAGTATAAGTTGTTAGTGACAGGTTGTCTTACGTAATTTTGTAAGGATGTTGGTGCAATATTATTTTCCTTAATGTTCATGCCCCAACTGAGGACAAAAGCGATTATATCAAGGATAGCTTTTATGAAGAATTGGAATTAGCATTTGATACATTTGGCAAGTATCACATGAAAATTCTGCTAGGAGATTTCAATAGAAAAATTGGAAGGGAGAACCCACAATAAGTAACGAGAGTCTCCATGCACTTAGTAATAATAACGGTGTTAGAGCAATAAACTTTGCTACGTAAAAATTTAATTGTAAAATGTACAAAATGTCCACATCGCGATATTTATATATACACTTGGACTTCTCCAGATGGGAGCACACAATCAAATAGATCATGTTTTATTAGATATTAGAAGGCACACAAGTATAATTGATGTGAGGTCATTCAGAGGAGCAAATTGTGACACTGACCATTAACTGGTACTGGCAAAAGTGAGGGAGAGGCTGTCGGTAAGCAGACGAACTAAATACAATTTCGACACTGAAAGATCTGATTTGAAAAAAATAAGTGAGGGAGAGGTAAAGGAGTAACATCAAGTTGAAATTTCTAACAGGTTGCAAATTTTATAGACAGATAAAGATGGTGAAAGTGTGGATATCAACAGGGAGTGAGAAAGTGTCAGAGACTGTATCAAAATTTCAGCCAAAGGGAAACTAGGATACTACAGGAGAAAGCAAAATAAACCTTGGTTTGTTGAAGAATGTTCCAAATTAACAGATCGACGGAAGCAAACAAAA